TTTTTTTTACACTTGTTTTACAATCGAGAGACTTTCTGTAAGTAAGAATTCCATTGTACCAGTACCGGTTACATATGGCAGTAAAGTTCAAGTTCAAGTTCAAGTTAAGAAAATGGGGAACAACAAAATCCAACATGATTGATATATCTCTAAACCATGCACCATATGAACATAATGGAATTTTCTGAATCATAACAGAACTTGTTTTAACAAGTCACCTCCAAGGATGTCTCGTCAGAAGCTTTTCTGATACCCTTAAGACCTATTTTGTACATATAGTTATTTACTATTATTATTTAATTATTTACTGATTTTCTTGACCTTGGCTATATTTTTAAGTAATAAAGAAACTATAAAATCAAAGACAGATTAGTTCATTACCCTGCTTATGTACTCTCTGGACCAGCTCATCAAGAGCATCTCTGGCTCCACTATCATACTTCAGTGACAAAGCGTATGTCACCAGGCATAGGGCATAGCTGCTAGAGACTCCATTTCGAAGCCTGTCCTTCAAAAAGTCCAGAGCCTTGTCAATTGCACTTGAATATGTTCTCTACAAGAAAGCAACAAAGCAGGTTCAGTACAATATATTATACTTTGGGCAGGGGTTAAAGGGGAAAAAATCAGCAACTATTCTCGTCATACCGTGTATGTGTCATCTTCCAACAGAGCCATCAACACATATGCAGTAAGAGAAACAGGACCATTCTGTCCTCCCTGTAGCTCAGTGTGAATGACCCTTCCCGGCTCTTTGAATTCCCCACTAGCATCCTGTTGGCTCAGCAACCAACTCACAGTACTGGAGAGCACTTTGGGATCGATGGAGATAAAAGGACGGGCTTCCAGGAAGCATCGGAGCACAAAAGCCGATAACCTTATAGAACAGAATTCAATTATAAAAAAACAAGATTTGCATGAAACACCATGGATATAAGGGAACAAATTCAGCAAAATTAGTATGGCTAGAATGGCAGATGATCTGATGTACAAACCAAGTACTTCCAGAGGAGTCACTGTTGCCAAAAGCACTGAAGGACCCATCTTTCCTCTGGTAAGACAATTCTCTTTGATAACCTGTACATGGATACAATCCCAGTGTTAACAATGCATCATTAGTTAAAAACTCTTTCACTTTTATATAGTACATTCCTTTAAGGCAATCAAGAAGAACTGACAGCAAGGACACAGCAACATTACTATTTTTTTAAATATTTGCAGAAGTACTTAATTCAGTTGCTGTACTGTATATGCATAGAACATTCATTGAACAAAGTGAACTGGACAAGGCTTCTGTGAAGAACACATAAGACTTAATGATACATCTCATCACTTGCAATACAAGGATCAAACTAGATGTGAAAAAGTCAATCATTATTGCTCTTGAAAACTCAAAGAAAGCCTGCTGCATTAACTGCTGTTCACTTTTGAGGCTGAAATTAAGTCTGACAGTCAAACGCTGCTCATATTTATAAATATTAGTCATATAGAAACAGAGTTCAGAATGGGAAAAAATGTACAAGTGACAAGTGACATGGGATACAATGAGAACTCTCTTTTATGAGAGCTTGACCATAAACAGACCACAAAACTCACCTTCCACCATGAATGATATGGCTTTACTTCTGATATCCTCTTTCACTTGGTGTGTGTTTATCAAGTACTGTAGAACATAAATATTGGGAGCAAAGTTTATCATGTTCTGCTCTCCACACCCATAAGGCATTTGAATAAGTGACTCGAGACCAGTGATGGATGGACCCAGGATGTCACCTGTAAAAAAAATGACGGCACTGTACTTGACAAATTTAACTCCAATAATACAGTTTTCTTCTTAGTCTTACTCAAAGTTCAACAAAGAAATGTCCATGTAGGACACAATAATCATTATAATGATGCAAACACCTTCACCTGCAGCTTTTACATGAGAATGTCTACTATATTTTCCAGGCTGTAAGAATTTTGGTCCTGTGGTGATTTAAAATGCTATACACAAAAGAAAAAACAGCATAAACAATGCTGATGAAAAGCTATACTTTATAAGAGAGGCTTATCTGTAACACTTTTGTGGTCAGTTTCCATGATGACGTTTATCACTGAGAGAAGAATTAATGCAGAAAGTTCAAAGCCTAAGTACAAATACTAAAAAAATACACTTGAGAGGCTTGGTTTCTCAGCAGATGTACCAGCTCAGCAACCACACTGAGGTAAATTGAAGAATAACCTAAGAAAATAAGGCTGGTGAAGATGGTCTGTATTTTAACTGTGAAAATGTTTTCCTTAATTGTCCTCAAGAAAATCGTATTCTCTCTCACACATATCAAAATCTGATAAAAATGGAGTCACTGATGTCTTTGGGTTGTATGGTAGATAAGAATGAGAGCCGGTATGTTTGTAGTGGATAGTGGTGTTAATAGTGGAACTCAAATCTGTGATGAAATACCTAATTATTACTTCCAAATATATGAACCCCTATGCAAAGGCCCCCAAAATTTACAAGCTTACACAAGAAGTAGTTTAATGCTAAAACATGCGTTCAACTACAGACAGGAGAAAGGAAATCATGGTCTGTGGTACATATACTAAACATTAAAATTAATAACCACAATATTTCCAAGCACTCATGACTCCAATAGTGATAATTCATCATCACTTGTTAAGTATGTTAGTGTTATGGAATAACTGCTTCCCACTAACAAAAATATTTTCACACTGGGGACTCTGGACTCTGGTGTTCTATTCTGACATTATTGCAATATTATGCTCAAAGATATCATGAACAATACATTTATTGTATTGTTGTTGCATATCTTTCAAAACAATTGCAGAAGGATATTGTCTGAAATATAATAAAATGAATTAATTTTTAATATTTTTTACATTGTGTACAACATAATAACTTATTTTTCCTTTTAATATATATGTTAATTCAAAAGCATATTTATGATGTTTTTAATATAAACACACCTATGAGAGAGTATTGTTATCTTACAAACATAATTATACCTTTATTAATGTAATATTATTTTGTCACATACCAAAAACGGTAAAATAAGCTCTTTCACTGCCTTGCACAACATTTGGGGGGAAAGTGAAGTTAATTTGTTTGGAAACGCTTTGTTCAGCCAAGGCCAGATCCAAAAACAATGACTTAGCAAATGACTGTTCGATTCCTTCAGGCTGTAAGAAAAGAAAAAGATTTCTCTTAACCATGGCAAACGAAGACTGTCGGAATCTGTAAAAAATGCTTAATTTCTGAAAGAACAAAGGTACAGAGTGAGCTGGGCCAGCCCTAGCTTTATGGGGGCTCCAGGCAAGATCTTGGAAAGGAGCCCCTCCAGATCACGATTTGATGCGATCTGTTTTTCATGATACGTGTTAAATGAAATGAAAGATGAATGAAACTGATCATCACAACATTTACTATTTTTCTAAATTAAACAAGTAGCATTCGGAGTAGCAGAAGTTGAAACCGCATATTGTGTTATTGTCATCTTATGGCAAAGATTAATCATATAATTATGAGAAGATGAGTAATTTCATACATCAACAGTGAAATAAGCCACTGCACTTACATTCACAACTAATAACATTATGATTTATAACTAACAAACTTTAACAGCCAAGACTAGCACAACAGAAACAGGAAAAAGGCACCGGAGGATATTTTTGTTTCACATTTGAATGTGCTGATTAAAAAATATTTTGTGTTTCACATTAGGGGCCCCCTGGTGGTGCTGGGGCCCTAGGCAGTCACTTAGTTTGCCTAAGCCGAGGGCCGGCCTTGAGAGTGAGGTACAATACCATATAACAAATCTTCAATTTATGTTTATAAAACGCAATCAAATACAGAATCCCACGATTATCATTCAGTTATCTACACTAGGAATTGTTAAGGCCAACACTGCATTGTTGATATCAGGGCTCAAGGTTGTACTGAAAGAAGCAATTTGAATTAAGTGAGTGGCACACCCAGCCTCTCCTGGTTATCCCCTGTTCATTTGGGTTTTTTCCACAGGCTCCAGTTTCCTCCCACCATGATAGCTAGCTTTCACTGGTATTAAACTGTCTCTTTCTCTGTGGCCTGCAGTGGACTGGCATCCTGGCCCTTTTGTATTCACAGTCTAGCTTGTGTCCTACTGTAGGCTTCCAAGATGGCAAGTCTCTTGCCATAATTTTCAGAGGACAAGCAGCTTTTTGATAATGGCTGAAGAAATGGACACATGTATGGGACAAGCTGCACAAGCTGCCATGCTGAAGAAGGCATTAACTTGGATTCACTCAAGACACAACTGGTTGAGATACTTGGATTAATTACAAACTAACTACCAAATGAGCTAGATGAGCCAAATTGCCATTTGTAATCTGTATGTTCCCAAAAGGGCAATTGATAGACAGCAATAAAACTGAACTTCCTTGATGACATTAATATGTCACATTTTTATCTCACATTAAATAACGTACAACCTGGTATCTCTTCAATGAGAGAAACGTTTAGAAATGAAACAAAGCAGATACCTTAACCAACACTTTCTGAATGACTGCGTCTGAAGCGACAGAAGAGATTGCTTTCACAGAGATGGGGATCTCTCCAAGAGCTTTGGGTTTGATGGGAAATAGAACTGAGGTACCATCCCGACTGGCTACAGACACCTTTTGTTTGCTGGGCATTGATATGCCTTCAACATCAGGAAAGAGAAAATCAAAAGAAGCACTTGGTGCAACAGTAACCATAACCTGTTGAACGAAAAGAAAGACACTGTGAGCTGACAGGATCATTCACATGTGCTGTGGACATTTGTCAGAAAAAGAACAAAGAAACAAATATCTTAGTTACAGACACCAAAGTATTATATAGCACAGAAACCGTAGTCTCCTCAAAGAGATTATATCATTGGTGCATAACAGAGAAAACTTGTACTGCCGCTGTTGCGCAGTGGTTAGCATTGCTGTGTTGCAGAGCTGGGACCCTGGGTTCATTTCTGTACCTGGGGTGCTATTCAATTGGAATCTGTATATCCCTGGATTTATAATAATTACATTGATATTGTGCTTTTCTGGACACTTCACTCAAAGCGCTTTACAGGTAATGGGGATGACTCCTTTCCACCTCCACCAGTGTGTAGCCCCCACCTGGATGATACGACAGTAGCTAAAGTGCGCCAGTATGCTCCCCACACACCAGCTAGCAGTGGAGAGGAGAACAGAGCCTTGACACCAGTTCATAGATGGGGATTAGACACACTGATGGGTTTTTTTTCTAAGATGTATGTAATTTAACTTCTTGTTGCTGCCGCTGTTCTGCGTTTATGTTTTTGGTGTTTCCTTAATGTCTTTGTATTGGAACATACATGCAAATAAGCATTTCATTGCACTTGTGCACATGACAATGAACTGAACTATTAAGAATCCATGATTTTTAAAGGCCAGGGGAAATTTGGCCATAACGCCTATCCTCTTTCCAAGAAACACCCTTCTTCATGACCACAGAGAATCAGAACGTCAGTTTTATGTCTCATCCAAAGGATGCCGACTTTTTTTACAGTACTGGGTCCACGTCACTATACTGGGGCATTAGGACCCACATGAGCCGCAGGGTGAGCGCCCCCTTCTGGCCCCACTAACACCTCTTCCAGCAGCAACCTTAGTTTTTCCAAGGAGTCTCCACTCCAGGTACTGATCAGGCTCACACCTGCTGAGCTTCAGTGAGCTGCCTGTTGTGAGTTGCAGTTGATATGGCTGCCGGTTTGTATGGGTTTCTTCCCACAGCCAAAAGACATACTGGTAGGTTAATTGGCTTCCGGGACAATTGGCCCCGGTGTGAGTGTGTGCGTGTCTGTCCTTGTGTGAGTCCTGCGATGGACTGGCATCCAGTCCAGGATACATCCCCCATTGTACCCGTTGTTTGCCTGGACAGGCTCTGGCTCCCCCTCAAACCTGTATTGGAAGTTGTTAGAAAATGGCTGGATGTTGTATTGTTACAATAATATAAACCCGCACTGGATGAATCTGTTGTAGGGTTAGATGAAGATTGGAAGTTAGATTGAAAGTGTCTGTCCCCATGATATCAGGCTACCACCTTGTGTGAAACCAACTGCATTACATGTGATTTTGAATATACTCGGATTTCAAAATCTTAGTCATTTATTTTCAAGATGATAGTATTCTTAGATTTAAAATGATGTCATTAATGCAGATATTAATCTTGGAAACAAATCCAATTAAATATAGGTTGCTCTAGTAATCAATGAAGACTGTAAGATGTAAATTAAAATGGGAACAACATGTTGGCTGCTGTTTTACCTCCAGTGGCTGCTCGAGATAGTTGAAGATGATGACTTCCAGGATGAACTTTTCTCCCCTGATGACAGAGTATGGCAGATTCAGAGACAAGAAAAAAGACTGGAAAACCTCAAGCTGCAAAAGATACACACAACCGGTAGGAGGGTTAGGCTATGTCTAATGACACTAACATGGTATGGATCCAAAGTATAAAAAGAAGGAGCATACTTCAGGACAGCACTTACATTTGCAGGAGCAGTGCTCAGTCCAAAGCCCAAGTTCTCCGAGATAACAAAAGCACTTGCAATCCAGGATGTGATACTGTCAGGCACTGTCACAGTCAGGCTCCCATTTCTTGATGCACTAAAAAAATATGAAAAAGAAGGTCATATCACCATGTTGTATAATCCTTGTAACTTTAATCCTTGTTCTCTGTTCAAATCCTTACTAATCCTCTTACACAATCGTTTCATTGGGAAGCAGGTTGGTGCCATTTAGAATCAAGAACGCCAATGGTGAAACACTGTGCATTAGTGTCTAAGCAAAGCGAACCAAACTTCCCACCACTGTTATTTTCCTTTAAAGAAGAGTCTGAGGAGTTAAATTAGTTTAAAAAGCTTGTCAGATTGTTTTTGAAAACTAGGATTCGTCACTAAAGATCCATGGAGAAACAATGCACTTTGATGCACCTACTGTAAAGTCAAAAACATAATAAAAGGAATAGACAGATTATCTGATGCTCACATTAAAGTGCACAGAAATTGAGATACTTGGGTTTTACCAATGTATAACTCTTTTTCAGGGTGTGGGGTGCAGCGAAAACACGGGTCAGTGTTTGATTTGATAAGGTATAACGTCGTGAGTATCTGCAAAACAAATTTCTCCTAGTTTTTGGCTTTAACACGCTTGGTGACCACGTGTCCGGCCCCTTCAGTAAGGTGAATCAAGGGGTGTGCTCTGCAGTGGTGGCAGAATGGGGATGGTGGAGGGTCTCTCAACATTGATCACAGGGCAGGAAATTTGACTTGTATGGAAATCTGACTATCAACAGGTAGAGGTGTTTTCGTCTTCCTGAACTTTCAATGTTAACTCCATTTATACAGCAGCTCAAAGAACATTTAACATTTATCTTGGTTTTGCGACTCATCTAAAGTCCATTTACAAGAAACATTTATCTATTCTTCAGCTTACGGTGACTTAAAATTACATGTAATGTGACCTGCTTTATTTCCATGAAGCTATAATTCACCTTGTGTTGAAATCCATCCAGATCCATGTCTCTGGAAAGTTGCTGCGAACTCTTGGTTCCAGTGGTTGTGCTGCTTTGGACTCAAAAGGCTGCAGAATCTCCTCGACTGTGTAACAGACAGTGTTTTTATTACGACCTGTGTCCATCACTGCTTATGTGCAGTACGGACAGCATAGACAACACAGCTCAAACAGTTCATTTCGTTAGAAATGTTGTATATGCTTCTGTCTTATCTCAGGCATTACTGAAGTGACAAAATATATATTCATATTCAGATGATGATTATATGAATGTATTTCAGAGGTTTTTTAAAGGTGATCATGATAAGGATGCACTCTCTATTAACAAGTAATCTATTAGAGCAAGTTCTGGAAATATTAAATCTGATGCACTCTTACTGATTTATTTTGTTGTTGCCTTTATCCAGAGCAACTTACATTTGCATCCATTTATAGAGTTGGATATTCTACAAGGACAATTTGGGTGAAGCACTTTGCTCAAGGGCGTAACAGCAGTGTCAGCAGTGTCTCACCTAGTATTTAAACCTTTTACAAGTCCAGAACCCTAAGCACTGCTGTCCCTACTGGAGATAATGGTTCCAACTTATATAGTACCACTGGATGAACCAGATCAACTGGATTTGGGGGTACAGCAACAACCTCTACAAAAGGGACTTGAACCCACAACCTGTCAATTACAAGTTCAAAAGCTTATCGTTATGCTGTACCACCTCCAATAGATTACTATGGAAAAGATTGTTTTTCCATACTATGATGGAACACCCAAAGAATTTGTTCTCTAGCACACAGTAAATAGTTCGCTGTGAATTCCAAAAGCTGAAAGGTAAGCTTTTTGACTTACAAAATTCAGGTTTATAACCTTCGATGTCGTCTGAAAGGTTAGCATCTGTTATCACCACAAGGTTACAACTCTGTGGATATACAATAAATCAACTCTCTTTTAGACAAGTTCTTAAAAAGATCACTAGAAACTGCAGCTTCTTAAAACATCTGTCTACTACAAACAAGTTTTTTTTTTCCTTTACCTCCTAGTAACATGTTAAAATACATATATTAAATTTATGTATATATATATATTGGATTCTGGCCATCCAGAGGTTTATTATTTATAAAATTAAGAAACCATTCAGTATATTTTGCTCATTGTATTGTATTGCTAACTACTGCTTTCTGGTCTACAGACTTTGAAACATATTTACAGTATTATCCAGTTGCAGTTCAGGAACGTGAAACAAGTGGTGTGATTAGTTAACAAGATTTTTCCCCAATAGTGGTTGTTTGCAGTCCATTGGAGCTGCATTAAAAAACAGAAATGAGCATGTTTCTTTAATCATTTTGTTTATCCTTAGTTACCATTCTCAAAGTTTTTAATACTGTGGCTTTTTGGTTCCTTTAGCAGTATAAGACTCTTGAACTCTTGAAAACAGACATGAATTGAGTCCAGAGTAGTTATTGTAGAACATGCATTTATATAGAAAAAATAGCATTTCTGTATGCCAATAATACCATGAAAACGGAAAAGGGGCCAATGCTCATTTTTGGAAGATAGGAATGTTCTTCTCCATTGTATGTAGTCAGTTCTTCTGTAACCTGAGAGAATAAATAACCAAGTACCATGTTAAAAAACACACATTACCTGAACAATGAAAAACACCATAACAGGTTAATCAAAGATTAGGACTACTAATAACTAACTTGGTCATTAAAAATCCCAGTAAGGGTGTAACCCCGGCATACTGGCCAAAATTTCCTATTGGCCCTTACCAATCATGGCCTCCTAATAATCCCCATCTATGAATTGGCTTCATTACTCTGCTCTCCTCCCCACTGATAGCTGATGTGTGGTGAGCGTTCTGGCGCACTACGGCCGCCGTCACCAGGTGGGGCTGCACACTGGTGGTGGAGGAGAGTCCCCATTACCTGTAAAGCGCTTTGAGTGGAGTGTCCAGAAAAGCGCGATATAAGTGTAAGCAATTAATTATTAATTAATAGACAGATTTATGTATAATAGGAATTTCAGCAGAAGTGAACAGTGTTAACAATATGAGGAAATCTGAAAGTGTAGTAACTACGGCTCAACAAGCTTGGATTTTCATTATTCATCGATCAATTCATTAACCATATATTCCAAAAATTATACCTGCTTTTAATTTGTTTATAGTGCTTGTCTGATAACAAGACCGACCTCACTCACCGTGTCCTGTGTGATGTCATTGCCAGACCCAAGCAGCTGTGTGCCCTTATCAACCACCAAAAGTCCCACTAAGGAGTTGGGCTCGGCCGCAGACACATCCAGAGTGACTTTGTCTGAGGGCTCTGCTTGTGCTTTGCTCCACCTCAAAGAAACCTGATCACCAGTGCAGTTATCAAAAAGAAATCTCTGAATAATCCATATCAAACCACAAAAAACTCACAAGGAATAGTAACATCCAAAAATCTAATGAATTATAATCAAAAGTATGATACGTTTTGGCTTAGCCCACTTGGTTAAGGACAAGAAGGCTCAAACCCCCAGATTTAATCAAGAGGGAGCTGGAAAGATAGAGATGAGTTGAAGGTGTCTAGAAATCTTTAATGTAAATTAAAAATTGGTTTTTTTTTTCAAACTAGGCATGCATGCAAAAAAGGAGTCACCTTGTTTTTGAAGACATTAGCGATGGGAAGATTAAGTGCATCATTAATAATTTCTCCATCGTCCCGAACATAATACACAATGATACAGGCAAGTGGAGCCCAGGACTCTTCAGGGATCAAGGTGAATGAAGCATTGGACAGTTTGCCAACCGACAGCGTTTTTCCTCTCGATGTAACCTGAGGAATCAATGTGGAGTTACATCAGGTTCTGAAACAACTGACGTTAGATGGTTGGATATTTCAAATTAGGTTTTGGTTAATACTACAATTTTGATGAATTGACAACAACTTTTAAAATTGACATGAATAAAAAAAATTAAGTAATTGAAATAATATTAAATTGATACATTTCTTCCCACTTTTGATAAAGAAGAGAAGACCAAACAATAATTTACTTAAGGCTTGTGCAAATAAGCACAAAGTTTTCTACTTTTATTAACGTGAAAATTACTTTGTAACAGAATTTATTAATTATTTATTGAAATAAAAGAATAACCACCAGAATTTGGCAAATTATTTTGATATAACTTGATATAATTTAAGACAACGCAAGGTAGATAAATGTACAATTATTTCTTTTTCTGAGTTTGAATTTTCTGTATTTGATAATGCGATTTGAAGTACACCTTACCAAATAGTGTAACTCCTTTAATGGATTACTGCTCTCAACAGTTATCCGAAATGGAATCCCAACCTAAAACAAAATAATACATATATTGGATGAGTATATGTGCATACAAGTGACACATTATACACTTCACATTCCTAACAACAACAGCTTCACACACACTCAAGAGTTCAAACAAATTCACTTTTATTACACATTTAATTACCAGTGTTTTGTAATTAAAGCTATCAAAACGATTCAACCATACATAAACATGGTGTATTCATACCAATAACAATATTACTAGTAATACTAGTTCATCTTCAACAACTTCAGAAATATTAATATTATAAATTAATAATATACTATATATTTATGCTGTACATTACATTTCATCAGTTATAGTTTTACAGTAAATGTCAGAAGTTACCTTAAGATCAGACCTGTCCTTCTTTAACTGGATGTAGGATTTACTAGGGGATTGATATGTTTGGTATAAGTCCAGGATCTCAAAACTACGAAGGAGCTGTGCCTAGAAATATATATACAGTATATACTGCATCACAAAGGCACTTACAGATGTAGCACTTACAGTGGTTAATTACTGTAGATTATTTTGCTCCAGTTATATAATGTGATGAATAAAACAATGTTTTGGTCTCCCTGCTTGTTCAAATTATGCTAAATCACAAAACAGGATTGATTAAGCATCGTCTTTAGAGTGGGTATCTTGCCATCACATCAAATGACATAGCAAACAGCTGTATCTCAATAGCCTGGAAACTGCTTCAGTAAACTGATGTGTCTTAGCACCATGGGTCTGCTCAGGTCTCACATGATCATGACATCACCATACACCCACGGCAGTAGTATCATCCTCAACAAAAAGCAACGCGGATGAATAGTCACTAAAGTCAATGTTATATACAGTATAAAATCGCAAAGTAATTTAATGTATGTGATAGGAGTAGAAAATAATTGTTAATTACATTGTGCAATGCCAACAAATTATCAGAAAATGCCACTCTGGTAATTAATTATGTTATGTGAGTTTGGAACAAGCTGCCCAGTCACATTTTTCAAAGCTGATACCCAGGCTTCTTTCATGGAACAGTTGCATGCATTCTCAGATGAATTAACTACTAGCAACCAAGTAACCTAGGCAGAAAAGTGGCAACAGTAATAAGAATGCATGCAATGTCTATTTCACACAGCTATACACTATATTAGTTTACCAGGAACAGAAATGACTTAATAAATATCATTTTCACACAGAGCTTTTGATAAATTCGCAGTCGGCCTGGATATTTGGATGGAATTAGCTTTAAAAAAATAGTTACAGACCATTCTGAGAAAGCTTTATCAGATTTTTAAAAGTGTGAAATTATCCGTACCTGAATGCTTAATCTGTAGATTTTTTCGGGCAGTTGAAATCTGATTGCTATTATTCCATTTTCAGGAACCATATAGCTCACAGTTTCATATGTTTCAGATGGTACTTCTGTACTATAAGAAAAATCTGAAAAGTTATTTGTCCTGGATTGGAAGATCCCAATGCCCCAATCCCAGTAGTTATCTCTGTATTTTCGTATAGAGATTGTCACATTGTCTCTTCTCTCTTCTGGAGTCAGGGGCTTGTATGAAGATATTTTAAGCTGCAAGAGTAAGCATTGAAACATATTTGTTGGCGGATGAATAAAAATTGTTTTTTTATGAATCTGCTAAGTCTTTCTAGAGACAGGTGACTTGAGCAGGACATTCATAAATGATATTCTCTTTATAGGCAACATTGGTGAAAATGCCTTCAAGAATGTAATATTTTATTTCATAATATCAGTTTTTGTTTTTCGAACAAAGGTGACCTGGATCAAAATAAGAAATAGTGTTAAAAAAATGTAAAGGATGTCATATGTTCTGTCAGTAAAGACTTCACTTACATATGTTGTAAAGTTTAAAGATGGTTTCAAGTCAAAAGGATACCCATAAAAATTCAGTTGGTATTTATTTCTAACTGCTGTGGTATTCAATGTGGTGCTCTGAGTAATTCCTAGAAAAGAAGAACGATTGTAAGCCAACAGTAATAAAACAATTTCACCTGAAGTTTATAAATGCATCTAATATATATTTTAATTGTAAATTGGATTGGGTACAATCATGAAAAAAGTGAGTATTTCACTTGGGTGTTCACAATATTAGCAACATGTATCAGATGAGAGAAGTACTAATAAGAGTCAATGAGTTTGAAACAAGATACTTCTGCATTCAAAGACACACAATGACTGCCCTTTTTCAAACAAAACCTTCACAAATGTGTAATTTAAATGTAATAATCAACTGTGTGGACAAAAAATAATAAAACTCCACTGAAGATATGTAGAATGGAAGCAAATCTACCAGTACTGTACTGTATACAAAAATAAAAATATTAAATTTACTTTGCTTACCAGTCAAATGCTCACTAACAGAGGCAGTTATTAGGACATTTATCTCATCAGGAAAATAGGCCTCCAGAATTCCTGCATACAGGTTATCATAATCAGCAAAGTCTTTGTATGTGATATTAAAAGTAGCCAAACCATCAATCTGAAATAATAGGAAATACACTCAGTATTTATGAAAATAATTGAATGAAACAGAACAATAACAAATTTAGGAAGCTTTTTTAAAATGCAAATGTATTGCATACCAATAAAAAATATATACTCATGATCATGGCAATAATTCCTCTACAATTAGAGACACGAGGGCAAAAATCAAACTTGATGAACTCTTGTACGGATAGAATAAGGAAACATACCTCCATGGTTTTATTTAAAGGGAGCTTTATATTAAAGTAATTCAGTAAAACTGTGACTGTCATTACTCCCTTCACAGGTTTTCCATAAGTATACCTGTAAATAAAAGTATTCCTAAGTTCAGAACATAATGTTAATAACTTCATTTAATAATAAAATAACAAGATAAGAAACTTAACAAGAGGATGAAATCATGCAAAAATGTGGGAAGCACGAGATATCATGAAGTGCAAATAAAATATCATGAAGTGCAAAGGTGATTCACACTAAAGTTTATATTCCAAACAGTCATCTTCTTAGAGCAAACAGCAGATGGAACAAGACCATTACAGTTCTTGTATCTAAAACTCACTTGGCAGTGACAGTCCCAGTTACGCCATCTTCATAATTAAACACTGAAGGTGTCTGTATCAATACTTCAAATGTGGGCACCACTGTGAACAACATAATTAACATTTGAAAAAAAGAAAATATTCTAAGCTAATATAACATTAAATGGCAAAGATCAATTTAATAATCATATTTTTCTCATAGAGACAAAAGGCTCACCTATAAGACTCTGCATGGCTTGGCACCTGAATACCTGTCTGAACTATTATTGCCCTACTCCCCACCTCGCAACCTCGCTTTTCTAATTCTGGTCTCCTTACTGTCCCCCAAGCCCGTCTACATTGTATGGGTGACAGGGCCTTCTCCTGCTATGCCCCCAAGCTCTGGAACTCTCTCCCCAAGGATATCAGAGAGTCACCTTCTCTAAACTCCTTTAAATCCAGACTCAAAGCCTTCTTCTTTAGAAGAGCCTTTACTTAACTGGTGCCACTTTTTACCCCTCTGCTCCTACTATTCTTAGTACTACCATCCATGGTCTCCTTTATGTATTGTAATTGTGTTTTTTCTTGTGTATTCTTTTTATTTATTGTTGTTGTCATTCTGTAAAGCAATCTGAGAAGCCACCTTTGAAGGCGGTATATAAAATAAAGTTTATTAATATTTATAACAAGCAAGTCTTTGATCAAGTCAATTACTGTACTTTAGACTGGTGTCAAAGTCTGCCAATTAATGTTGTTGAAATTACGAACTGCTTAAATTTCATAGGAATGAAAGAATGTGTTTCCTCCCTACATTAAAACAAGACTAAGGCTCTAAGCTGAAAACTGAGTATTAGTTTTCAAATTCTTCCCTGTCCCTTGTTTCTAGTTCTATAATGACCTGAAACTAAAGAGGTTACAAATCAGTGCCTAAGGAAAACGTTACACCCTACATTGTTTCCTTTCCTGTCAAGAATAATACCTATTGGCATGGACTGTGCTTTTGCAGCCACACTGAAAAACAGCTTACCATATTCAGCAACAATGAAATTCTTTACTGACAGCACCCCCTGAAAGACAGAAAATGCATCACAATCATGAGGACTTTTCTGTCATCTCTGAAGTCTCGTGCTTTAAATGCAATATTTTTCCATTATTGTTCTAAATAACTTTAAAAAATGAAGTTGGAAAAACAAACTTGAAAGTCAATTATTTTGAGATATAAAACTAAAGTACTCAAAACAGCACAACAGATGCAAGCGTAGTATTGGTTTCAGTGTTATACACTGCGGTTTAGTCTGGTTCAGACTTACATTTCCAGAAGCTTCGATAGACCACGTGCCAAGGGGAGGGTTTTCGGATAAATGAAACTCCTGTGATACAACCCCCAGCCTGCTATCCAGTGATAGCCACTGTTGTATCAAATTTCCCTGAGGATCCTGTCGGAAAAAAAAAACGAATATTATTTTTACTTTGTAAAGCATGAACGGTGATTAGGTGTTCGAATGTACCAAATTTACATAAAACAAATCAATTCTATGACTTTTCACCTTAAGTACCCAAATTCTAATTAATCTGTCATGTAAATGGCATACTATGGTCTTTTGCAAGTATTTTGTTAAAATCTCTGACTGTTAAACTACTTGGCAGGAAAACAGATCCCAAAACTATAAACTGTAGAGGAAGCCAAGGTCTACCATTTTGTTTCCTAAGTCAGAGCAGTCCGGTGAGTCAAGATGGTGACCGTTCCCTGTTTGCTGGGAACAGAAAGGTGAAAGGAGGTGGGATAGTAATGTAAATAGGTATGAAGAAAAGGGCAGATTGGAGAGGTATTTGATAGCAAACTAGTCCTGCAGATCTTTAATGTGTTCTGATTTTTGTTCCAACAAAAACATTCAATATCATTATAAAAACATTATTAAAGGACCCCAAATAGAACATTATCATCAATTGCAAGATATAGGTGCAAATGTTGCATTTTTTTTTATTTCAAACAATAGAAACAGATAGCAATGTTGTAAGTGTAAAATAAACTTCACTTTTTTGGGTATGTTGCTTAAAATATAACAAATTGGACATCTTCAGGAGGAATACAAAAAGCTCACTATGGGAGTGTCGGATATATTGTAATTCACACATTTCTCTGAACACCATTAGATAGTCATCTGAATAAGAGCAGATATCTTAGGGAGAAATAGCAGAATAAATGCTGAATAAGCAAGTTGAAGACAGACTGCATACAGGTCTGCATGCTTCAGTTGTCAGGGACATTATTCAAACCAAGGAGTGGGTGCAGAAAAAAAATAATCTAAAGAAACGAGCAGAACATTAAAGCATCAATTAGCACAAGTGGTTGAGAGATCAGAGATCAGGTTAAGAGAGATATCACAAATCAGCACACAGAGGCGTTCCTTAGGACCGGTGGAAAATCTCCTTGCTAAACGGTATCAGAATTGAAATACTGGATATGAAGTAAACTTTTTTTCAAGTTAACGAATTTCTTTGTGTTTAGGACGTGAACTGTTTTTGTTCCAATTAATTTCCTCAATTTTATTTTGTTAAAGAA